GATAGCTTAGTGTCTAACTGAAGTTCAGGGTCGGGTTGCTATCAGCGCCGAAGACAGTTTCCAAAATTGCATCCACCATAAACTTAACGAGGAATATAAAAGTTGCAGGCAATAAATCACTGGTTCCAGCTATGAACGACGATCACCACAAGCATGCCTGAACCTTACCTCACTTGCGGAATCCGAGAGTAAATTTAACATCAACGGTAGGAGATCGGATATGTGGGATAGAACCTCTTTTAGTCGAACTTTGGTCAACACTTCGATCCAACGCAGTGCAGCCAAACGTGTTAACAGGCCTTGGTGATTCAGTAGACGACATGTTGCCTCCAAAATGGCGTCCGTACAGATAACCCGACTTCTCAGCGAGGTCACATCCTGTCTCGTTGTGGATTTTGTTCTTGTGCAACGAATGGACGGCTCGTTCAGATTCACTCCCGCGTGAATAGCCCGAATTGGAGCCTCATTTTTCTGATTTGTTCTGTCGTGAATCAGAGAAACGAAGTAGGAGTATGACTCCAGTATAAGGTCATGGTTTTGTAGATCAGAAAAAAACATCAGCAGAAATTTTTATGGTAAAAAATCTCTGCGAGGAAAGCATAGCGAACGAGCTGATAATCTGAACCAGATGACTATAGGGGGAACTATCATAGATTACGGCTAGCAAGCTGAGAGCAAAAACTAAGGTACTATTCATTTCTAATCACTCCCTAACCGTACGCCCCTTCAAAACGAGCCACAGGCTGCCTCATTTAGAAACTTTGAAACCTCCGATCAGTTTCCGAAACATGCATAGAAGAATTCACATCAATTGTCACATCAAGGTCTTCAGACCCAATCTCATCTTTCATCTTCACGCCCTGTGCCTCAGGTGGTTTGATGCTCGCTATCCAATCAGTTTCGGAACTAGGCTAGAAGTCAAAGTCGAGCCCTCGCTTTTTGATTAGTATTCAGATATACGCCGTACAGCTAGCTATACGGTACACTGCGGGTCAACAGCAACAGAATCGAACATGGTCTCTTGTTAACTGCATCCCTGTATGTGCCGGATAAATGCAAACGCATCTGAAAAAAGAACGAATTCGAAAGTAATTTGACTACCGTCGATTTCCGATTTGTCAGCTTCTGCATAATAATTGCAGTGAAGGGTTACTGACGAT